TCTCATGGCTAGATTGGGATGCGACTTCCCCAAGAGAGTTTCTCAGCCAGCCGCGCATTCTGGCATTGAGTGTCTTGGTGAGCAGGTGGCCAGTGAGCAGGACTGGTCAACAGACTGCAAACCAAAAGCAACTCTGAGTGGTTGGCAGTGCGAAAAGCGTTGCGTTGCAGGGTACGTGGACCGGTGAGCATGGGTTTCAGATGGAGAAATAGAGGTGTTGTTGAAGAAGAGAGAAAAAAAAAAAGCCCCTGCTAAATGCCTCATTTCTTCTAACCGTGACAGCCCACTTCCCCCCTCTAAATCCAGTGTGACGTGCCAGCATAAGTTCAGGAATTTTACCTCCGAATTGTTGTCCTTCTATTCCTAACTTTAGTGGTAGCACATGGGGTGGTTTTCAGAACTACTGGCAAATGGCGACAGTGGAACCAGCACCTTAAAAGGATTCCATGCTTTTGGGATAAACTACTTCAGCTATAAACACTATGCAGGGCAAGGTTTCGGTCGAGTGTACAAAAATGAGTTGAGGAAAAAATCTGTTGTCGCTCCTTGTTAACGAATATTGAAAAATACTATGTTAAAGTCTATAAGAACACTGCTAAAATGTTCTATATTTGATGTTTAAAGGTGAATACTTGACAGCTGTGTTATAGCTGCGTCAACTTCATTTGTACCTTGGATGCCCTAAAACACTGAGCCATCAAGTTTTTGTGCTCAGGTCTTGTAAGTAGCCACTATACGAGTAATGTAGTCTTTTTTTTTTTTTTCAACTTTATTCCGAAGGTATTTGTGTAGTTCCTATGCTATAATATTCAGTCATTAGTACAATCTTTCCATTGCTGTTTGTGTTTCACTGTATTCACGTACACTAATGCAGGGGGCCATGTCAATACACCCATAAACCCGTGTTTTATCAAGGGCTTTTAAGTTTTATATATTCATCCCCATTTCATTATGTTCTCACAATATCCACAATTATGCGTGTCAGCAGGGTTGGTAGACTGAAAAATTCAGTCACCCAGTTTCGGCAGACTTTTGGCATTGCAACACTCAGTTTTTATGAGAAACTCCCTTGCTTCCGGGGGCGCGAGTATTTACATTGCAAGATATAAATGTGCTAGCTTCTAAATGGCCATCTTGTGTACTCTGCTAGAAAGACCACTGCAGTGCAGCGATAAGCATTTGTCTAAGGACACACGATTTAGATGCGTTTAGAGCATCTATGCTGTGAAAATTTCTCTGCTTTTTTCGAATACCAATATTTTGTCTACTCTAATACTAGTATTTCATCTAATTATCTACTCTCAACTTTCTTGCTTGCATAGTCAGTGCATTCATACACATTGATTGCCTTTGTATCTAGGCCCACATCATAGTTTCACGCGACCTACTACCTGGCCTTGCGTCAGCCAAGCCATATTATATGCGAGGCTCAATGATCGACACACTTGAACAGACTGTTCACACGCACGTGTGGTTTAGCAGCAAATACAATGCCGTGGTATATCTAGGTGTCTCTTTCTTACAGTTTCATAGTTTAAAGGCTAAAAAACTGCTTCTTCAATTTCACGCACTTCTCAGTTGAAACATTTATGTTAGCGTGGTGATGACTTCTGTAAACTGAGTTTCAACTGTATATGTATAATGACAGTAACTTTGGTCTAAATTTGGAACATTGTTATAGTAAAAAGTTCTAATTGGCATGCCATATTTTAGTTCTTAAAATTTCTTGAATATTCTTGAATTTTGTCCTTTGAAGCCTTTATGAATTGTGCACTTAGTGCACCGAGTGCTAACTGGGCGAAGGGGTTAAGAAAAGAGATTAAACTTGAATCCCTCTAATGAAAGGTTATCTTCTAAACGGAGATTTACTGTAACTGAGCTGGAAATAAGTGCTTTTTTTTTTCTGACCAGAGATGTGCAAATTTTTCGTGCTTTTGTTATTTAGTGTTTTATTTCAAGATTTTCTAGCCTCTATGTGTGCCATGATGCTCCACACAAAATTGTGGCCTAGTTATTATTCTTTTATGTATAAGTAAAGCAGAAGCAATTAGTATATTATTTAGAATGTTTTGACAATTCTTATGTGAAAATTAGCCTGGTGATTAGGTTTCTTCATAAGGATCTGCCCTCGTTTCTTGTCATTTTCATCACGTTTGTCCAACTTCAAATGTGAAATTTTTCCGCTCCTTGGGAATCGCTCGAACAACTGTTTCACCTGTTTCACCCATTTCAATTTCCAACAATTTTTTTTTATGTAGTAAGCGTAAGCACTCGCATGGGAGATGCACTGCACTACAGTTTGTTACAACTTCAGAATGCAAGCTCCATCTTCCCTCATCACAGTCCCACCCAGAGAGAATTTGCATAAACATTCTATCCAATCGCATTTCGCCCCCCCCCCCCTTCCCCCCTGCGGTGTTCTAGTGGCTAAACTACTCGGCTGCTGACCCGCGTGTCGTGAGATCGAATTGCGGCTGTGGCGGCTGCATTTTCGATAGAGGCGAAAATGCTGTAGGCCTGTGTGCTAAGATTTGGGTGCACGTTAAAGAACCCCAGGTGGTCAGAATTTCGGGAGCCCTCCACTACGGCATTTCTCATAATCATATGGTGGATTTGGGACGTCAAACTCTACATATCGATCTATCCAATCACATTTGCTCATTTCCATGACATCAAGCGCCTTTTGGTTGTTTAAGGTGGTTGTTTTCAGATGCATGTTCAAATTGTTAGTTTTACAGCTTAAGCGTCCTGGAAAAATTTCATCAGATTCTGACATCGCTGCTTAGTCAAACATCGTATCTTAGGTAGAAACGACAAAACTTTAGTTTTACTTATGCATGGTATCAACATTAGCACCAAAAAACTACTATGGTTTAAAAGGAAACCAGCTTGCACAACTCTACATTGGCAATAGGCAAGTGTGCCGGGATTATTTATTGTGGGTGGAGCTTGTATTTATTAATTTGTAGCAGGCTATATAAACATCACTGCACGCTTTTGCATGTGAAAATAATGGCAAATTGAATTTCTTAAGCATGTTTACACTTTCCATAGTTTTATACAAGTAGTAATGGTAGCATGAAGTTCAGTGTAAAAGCAGGGTAAGAGAACAGGTGCTGAAATCGATTCACAGTCTTGATGTGGAAGGACATGGTTATGGGAGTGTTCCAGTAAGTGCATTGAAACTTGTTGATTAGCGCAGGCTCTGGCTTTAGCAACAGAGGTGGATTAGAATGGTGAAACTAGTCAAAACTTGGGCTTTGCACATTCGAAACCTGTTTCCTAACAGCCACCAACTTCAATCCGGAAGCCTCCTGCTATGCTGACAGGCAAGCTAAAAAAGTACAGGACTGACCCGCAGGTTGCGGGATGCATTTTCGATGGAGGCAAAAATGCTGTAGGGCCATGTGCTCATATTTGGAGGTACGTTAAACAATCCCAGATGGTCGAAATTTCCAGAGCCCTCCACTATGAGGTTTCTCATAATTATATGGTGGTTTTGGGACGTTAAACCCCACATATCAAAAAGTACAGGACTACTAGACAAACGAAAGAATTGCTAGAAGCTTAACTGTAAATCTGGTGAATTCTAGCCCCTCTGCAGTTATTTTGAAATGTTGTATTGCAGATTTTTTTTATTGCAGTTTTTGTGAGTTAACTGCCAACACGTCTAACTTCTATTAGTTTTTCAAGTGAAACTTCACAAATCTGAAATAATCTTCATGCAATAAACATAACCTAGTGGCATGCTTTTTTTTTTTTTATTGTGGGGTCAGAGCTCTTCCATCATTGTTAGTCTTGGTTCATTGCAACAATCATTTTCCTGTGTTATTGAAAAATTTTTTCATGACCAGCTATTTTTAACTTGTGCCGACATGAGGCCCTCTTTTGAAAATTTCTTAAAATAAATTTTTAAAATACGTGTTACTTTATGAAACCTTGATATGCTTAGAAAGATGGGTTCCAAGTTCAACTAACAGTCTGCTTTGTTACCCTTTTCAAATTTTGTTTGTTGCTGAACTTGCCTTCATAAGAGGACCCAGTGCATAATGCTTACAGCATGTCACATAGCATGAGTACTTTTGTGATAGCAATCATAATAGCCACTCAAGCTTTTGTTGTCTGGCTGCTCTCAATGTGGTTCTGGCTGCTTGTGTCGGTGATTTGTTAAGTACTGTAGAAAAAAAATGCACACACCCCCTCTCCTGAGTGAGCACACCCTTGACAGGAAAATGGGTACGTGGCAGGTGGGTTTGTTGCAAATTGTTATATTGTAGGCAGAAATTTGGGCAGAAGAAAATGCCTAGTGCATCACACCCTAACTCGTATTGAAGCACTCATGTCGTCTCATTCTTCGCCGCACATGGGGCCCCAATTCAAAAAGTGTTCTTCAAAGGTCGCCCAAGTTTCAGCGTGCATGTTCATGAGGCATTTTGGTGATAGTTGCTTATTATGTTAGGTGCCGTTTTAAAATGATTCTACGATTGGTCATAATAACTCTATAGAGCATTAATGATGGGAAACTTTAGAGCATTTATGATTCAATTTCAGGATTACCTGGAAGAAAGCTACAGAATAAAGTATAAAAGGCATGGACAAGAATATGGCTCTTAAGTGTATTTCAAGCAGAGGGAAAAAGTATTTGTTCACCTCATAAACATTTATGGCAGCACAAAGTACAGTTGTGGTTAGATGAATATCAACAGCTATAGCATTCCACTGCTGTGCAGAAAATTGTGTTCTGGGTGCATGTGAAGGAGGCTAACAATTTCGAAATTTGTGTGGACTTCTCCTCTGGAGCAATGCTGTCACACGATGATAATCATGGTGATGCATTGTGGGTGTGGGCAGTGCTGTGGTGAGATACCAGCCAAGTAATTTTCTGGTCTTTTAAGTACCCTGTGAACGCAAGTTTGTTTTGCTTGCTTTTGTTTGTAAAGCACACAATGAATTTGCTTTTCAACACATGTAGCAATATCTGACGAGTAACACTTTTCCAGGCTAGCAATTTAGAAGCGGACCTGAAAAAAGCAACTGAGGAGTGTCGACGACTGCGTGAAGAAGTAGCCAATCTACGCCAGGAAAATGCTGCTCTAAAGGTATTTATATGGTGTACAGTACTCACCTATTCAAATTAGACATCAAATTTTTACTAAAACGACTGGAACGCACAGTTGCTTGAGATAGCCTAGATTCGTTGCAGTGCACCACTAATCTAGTCTCTAAAAATAATTTGGATTCTGATCTATATGTTCAAGTCAAAATTACATCGATATACTTCGAACTAAAGATGGTTGAAATGAAAGTATGTGTGTTACTTAGCCCCAAGTTGTCTTGTTCAATCTGTGAGTATTGTACATGCTGTTCTAGCCAGCTTTGCAAAACCATTCTTCATATACAAGATAGGATGCAAACTGAACTTGTCTTTCTGCTGTTTGTACATTTAGTGTTTGTAGAAATTGGTCTTGAGAGTGCGGTTGATGTTCTAGGAGGATGGCCTGAGGCAGCGGATGCTCCAAACTGCCGCCACGTCAGAGACTGTGACCTCCCATGCAGCTCCCGAGACCACGTCACAACGTACCAAGGAGATGTCAATGACTCATTCTTCTGGCATGTCTCCCCTAATGTTGACGCTCTTTGCATCTATCATGGTGGTCATAGGAGTGCTGGTTGGAAAGTGGCTCTTTTGATCGCCCCCTACTGTATCAAGATGAGGCCTATCCCTGTGTGGCACTCTCCCTGCCCTCACTCTCTATGACCAGCCTTTCCTCTGCCCATCTCTTCTGCTGGTGGCAATTCTCAACACAGATCTTCAGTTGAGTGTGCAGACTAATGTCTGCAAGCAGTTTTTCCTTGTGGGCACCCCTCCATGCAGCTTGTCACCCAGGGTTTTTTTTCTACTACCATCTTTTTCGTGAAGTGGGTTTGTGCACAGGCTTTCTCGTAGTGTGCCTCGGCTCTTAAGTGCGGCCTTTAAAATTTGATTGCTTCTTCAGAACCTAAACAGTGGCATCACGCACTAAATTTGATATTGATAGTCTGTTTTGCTCATTATGGTAGTCTCCCAACAGCTCTGCCTTGTATTTTATGAGCATTGAGCATTTGTGTATGTTTGAGTGCCTGTGTGTTTGTGTGCATGTGAGTATGTATGTGCAGCACTCACGGCATGAGCTTCATTCCCAGAGGCGGAGGGTGCCTAAAAGGTTGTCGCTGCTCCATTTCAAGACTGAGTGATCTGGCAACATTGCTTGTTAAAATAGCAACAAGTGTTCCCTTTGGTCGCATTGCCTGAGCAGATGTAGATGGGAGGACCGGAGGGCTCTTTTCTTCCCTCTCTTCTCCTGCGCTTTCCCGGGATTCCAAGAAAAGACAGTACAGAATAAAGAACATTGTCAAAGGGTGGCCACAACACATGTCTAGCGGCTAACTTCTGCAAACCCACCCTTTTTGAAACGCTGTTTCTTTATTGTACTAAAAACAGACGGTGTTCAAGGGGAAAAAACGTGAAAGAAATTTTTCTCCACTAATGCACTTTTGGGGCTACTTTTGTTTTTTTGGTATTTTGTGTATAATTTCACTAGTTTAACATCTGGAACAAGCACAACCTGTTTAGTGACAATGTGTAGTGCGAGCCTTATCAGAACTGTAGTCCTTGGAAGACTTCTTCAGTGCTGTGTAACTTTGTCTGCTTTCTCACACTCAATGGGGGAACATCTGCAAAGCTGCATGCTGGCTTTTCTCTTCCCCAGGTTACATGATGGCTGTTTGGTCATGCTAGCCTTGTTTTATGATGATCATGACAATGAACAAGTCATTTGCCTTTAAATGTCATAGGACAGCATTAGACAGTAATGTATTGCCTTAGCTGGGTGTTTTCTGTTGTTTTTTTTCCCCATTGTGCACATTTAGAAAGTCAATAATGCTGAGGCACATTGAATAAAGCATAGTTTCTGAAGTTTGGGGCTTTGCTGGACAGCATTATACCCTACTTAGACTTATTTGTGTCCTTTTACTGCAAGCCACATTGCCGAACCTTAGGGGAAAACTTGTGAATTTAAACAAAGCTGAATAAAAGTGGTTGAACTTGACAAGTTGCTTGATCTTTCTCCGGAGTGTAACAGCATATTGATGTGGTTTCAGCGAAGTAATGCTGTAGTTGCTGCATAATTTTAAAATTCTTGGCCTATTTGAGCTACTGTTTGTGATGTCATTGCATACTTTGCATTACAGCTTATTCTGGACATACAGCTTTGTGCCAGCTAGTATTGCAGATATTTTATGAAGTTGCAGGCTGTGATGAGGGCTTAGAATTAATGGGTACAAAATACAAGAATATATCATGGATGAGTAACAATACTTCTAAATGTTAGTGCAGCTAGGTGAAACTAAGTATAAATTTAATTAGTTTAAGAATCTGATTTAAATGCGAGTTAAAATTTAATCTAATGAAACCCAAATTCATGAAGTTCTTGATCTAACAAAAAAATTTCTACCGCCTGGCATGAACCCACAGAGTTTAATGTTGTAATCGTGCTAAAATAACTAAACTTGACACAAAACCAAATTTAGTATAAGTATTTTATATTTAAACATCAGTAATTTATTTAATTTGTTGGCACGGCAGGGTTTTTCTAGTATGTGTTTTAAATTTCTAGCTGTTCTTGTCGCGATCCTAGTTTATTTTGACGAATCTGCACACCATGCTCATGCGCAGAGCAAATAACTCTGTCAACAACGCTTGCATGTACCCAATGGTGCTTGGGGTAGTGGCGGTGGCAGTTTAGTGTTCCGTGGAAGCATTTACATGGACAATACAGTGGTCACTTTAGTTATTTGATTGTTTATGCAACAGGTGGCACTGATCATTTCTTCACAGCTTAGTTTGTCGGTCTGCACGCACAATCACAGCTTCTTCTGAACTTTAAATATTGGAAGCCGGTCGCAGCTTGATGTGACCATCTACATTTGGTCTGCATCACTTGAAGATAAAGGGTGCCATGTCTGAGCTCCCAATTGAAGACTTTTTACATGCACAGGTGCGGGTTGGCAGTGCATGTATTGCTGCAGAAGCTCTGCATTGCAATTTTTGATCTGCAAGGACCGAAGAGTTGCTCTGCACAATTTTGCAAGCTTCCTGATATAAGGTGTTATATCAGGATAAATTCAACGAAAACAAATCTTTAAAATTTTTGTTGGTAAAGAGTAATACAATCCAAGGAGAAAACCATGCCCTGCCAAGTACATAAAAGCACTCTACTTCATTAAAAAATGACTCCAAAAGCTGCACCCCCTGGTGAACGCAAGGATTTGTCTACATACATGTTATAATTTTGCTGTGTATATTTTTTATTTTAAATATGGCTAGATATTTGCAGCCACAACTTATGAAAATGCAAGAGTATACAAATTTTCCCAGCGAGTACACTTTTCTAGCATGGGTGTTGGTTTTTGTTGCGAGCGCTTCCCATTCATGTTTTAGACTTACAGATTGGAATTCTTTTCCAACATTGCCTTTTTTTTTTTTCCAGAAGTTTCAAGCATAGATGTAATTTTTTTTAAACTAGCTGAAACTGTCAGATAATACTTAATTCTTTTTCTTATAGCCTGAAACTAAAACTTTGAAAAAAAGATGGTTCAGTTATACTGCAGAAAAAAAATCAATTGGGAAGTCGCTCATGTTGTATGTGATAAGTCTGAGTAATGCTTTTTCTCTGGTGAGCTATAGCAATCCATTCTTGGTAGACGAAGCTAGTGTTATGTGGTATTACTGTGCAAATTTCACAGTTGAGCTGTTCAAGAGAAAAAGTACATTTAATATTACAGCCCAGCCTAAAATTTGGGTTCCATATGAAGGCTGCATGAAAAACAAAAATTGCATCTTGGGAAGACAAAAGTCATTCTTAACACAAAATTTTCCAATATGGAACAGTTGCTAAAAGCTAAAAGAAAGATAATTAATTTACTATACCATATCTTAACGAAATAGTTTGAACGTGGACATCACCTATTATTGAGTTTCAACATTAAAACAAACTTGCAGGGTCCTCTATGTACAAGGGGAGCAATAGGGCCTTGTTGGTAAGACTTGAGAAATATTTAGCACAAAGTAACAGACATGTTGTGCCCTCCCATCTCATTCTTGTGTAACTTTGGCACGAAACATTGCCTAGTCTCATATGCACTGGTTTTAAAATGTAACGTGTCTTATGCGAATCCCATCCATTGTGGGTCTTTTTGCTGCTGACCCGAAGGGCACGAGTTCGATCCCGGCTACAGCGGTCGCAATTGTATTGAGTATACATGGGAGAGGCCCATGTACTGTGCATTGTTGGTGCACATTATAGAACGGCAGACAGTCTAAATTTCTGGAGCCCTCAACTAGGGCATCCTTGATAATCATAGTTTAGTTTTCGGTCGTAAAACCCTAGACTGTATTGGCTGTTCGCTAAAAATAGGGGCTTGAGAGATAGCATGAGTAGAGCACACTTTTGACCCTGTGGCTGCTGCTGATTAATTATAGCTTTGCTGTTGTAATGGATTGGCAGCTTTCAACTGCCCATTTATTTATAGCTTTGCCATTCCAATAGATTGCCAGCTTTCAACTGCACACCTGTTATGCTTCTGCCACGCGATGTTTTCATTTGTTAGCATGACCCCTGGCCAACATGACTATTAGTTGTTTTTCCAAAGCGGTCTTAAGCATTGGTGTGGCGCTGTAGTAAAATACCGGACTGCCATCTAGAATACATGAGTTTGCTCCCAGCTTGAACCCTGAGTTTTATCTGATTTTTTAAAAAGTCACTATGGCCACGTGTGTTGTTCTATCGCATACGGCATTTTTCCTAGCCCAGCATCTTATATGAGGTGCCGAAGGCCTCAAAATGTAAGGCGTAGTACAGTCCGGAGGGGGTACAATACAGTCATAAGAAATCTTAGTTTTGCCTGGAAAGCGAAGTACAGAGTTAACTCATAAGAAGCACCTATGTAGGCACACTGAGGTCAATTATATACAGCTGTCTGTTACATCAAGATATTTTTATCAGAAAATGGGAATGTGGTTCACCACTCATGAGAGACCACTTGTGCAAGGCCCGGAACGGAGAACTTCCACCGGTACATCTTTATAAAGGGTTTCAATTGTACTGCGTAATAATAGCTGAATATTCTATAGCAGGCAGTAAGGCTTGTAGTGTGCAAATACGCGAAATTTGTAATGTGGATAGAATGTTTTACTTGTTCAAACAGTTTTCAATTAAAAAATTGCATACTTGGACTTTCATGAATTTCAGACACGACTAAATCTATGGCTAAAAAGGAGAATAGCAGGACAAGCTAAAATATTGGAACAAGTAATGGTATACTAATGTTATCTATAATTATTTTCAAAGTAACATATTTCCATCATGTGAATAACTTGAAGCAGTGCAAAAAAAACAAGGACAACAAAGGAACACACAACAGGACTAGCGCTGAACTGCTAACTGAATCTTATTTAAAAAGTTACTTTTAGTATGTCATCAAAAACACCTTGTCACAAAAATGTCATCAATAGTCGAAGATTTCGAGCATGCATATTGCTATACTAGCAGGCATTCATCAAAAAAACCTCTCCTGAGTTGTCAAACTTAGTGACGCTGTGCTGACACACTTATCTCCAGTGTCATTGATATAATAAGCTTCCACGATTTCTCTTTCTTTTTGGATTGTCCGAACATAGAAGTCTGTTGTCCCCAAACTTGGGTGTGCATGCGCATTTTTTAAAGTAGGAGGCAATGTAGCTGTGATACCCTGTTCTTACATAGTTTTTATGTTGCCTAGCCCTATCATTGCCCAGTTTGTCCAATGTATGATCTCCCACAACTTCACTGAATCTTGTAAACAACATCAGAGGTGCACTTAGTGAATACTGTTTTATGGTTAGTAGTAATTAGAATTTATTTTCTATTTTTCATTTTACATAACATTGAAAGTTTAAGGAGAGCGGAAAAAGGCTGACCTGGTGCCTATTCGCCGCTTTCAGGTCAGGTGATAACCTATTCACATACTGAATCACTTGGAACGTTTTTTTTCTCATCAGTTTTTTTTTATGTTTTATTTTTTGTAGCAAAGTTTCACACACAGTTGTGATAACGAAAGTTAACTGAATGATTTAAGGTGTTTGGTCTGTTGCAATAGAATATTCACTTGGTGCTCACAGAATATTTTAATTGTACTCGGTACTTCATGGCGATTTCCCTTTTTACATGCATGGAGTGCACACTATCATATCGAAGGATGCCTTTCGATTTAGGTAGACAAATCCATCAAACATGTTGATTAGGCACATGAAAGGAAACATTAATAGTCAAAAACAGAGTTTTATTGTTTTTAGGCATTTTAGGGGTGAAATTTATTCCTCTCCCCCATGATTCCCAAAAATGCCCAGAATGTTTAAGACTTCGTCATAAAAACAGCAACTTGCTTGCTTCTTCAAAAGAATGTGATAATCATCAATGTAGCAATAAATGTCAGTAACTGGGGAGACATTTAAATCAGCACAAATATAGCTGTCAATGCAAGATGAAAATATGTTGGTGAGGATAGGAAAAATACTTCTTGAAATGTTTGACGTCACGCATAGAGATTTCAGAATGAAATTTAAAATTGAAACTCCAACACTGATTTTTTCCGCTAATAAGGAACTTGTGGTAGTGAAATATATGGCATTAGAGTTCTCAGAGGGCAGTTTATCAATCTAGACTGAGTCATTGTTGCTCTTTTGTGTCCCTTTAAAGTGTTAGGATCAAAGTGTTGAATCTGTTGTTGGCAAGCGGCCACGTGAACGTTAATGCTGATGATGATTATAAAATAATTACAAACATGTGTAACTGATGGCGAAGGCATTTATTATGGCACGTAGTGATGGTGATAAAGACTAATTCATTGAAACAGTTTTCACCCAGCGAAGTTCTCATCTACAGTAAAGAAGGAGGATGGACCAAGTGCAACTGGTGTTTCTAGCATCCAAATATGTGAACACTTTTCTCCAAGAACTAAAGCTAAATTTTCCAAGTTTTTGATATATTCCCATTTTTGTATGTATTATTGTTGC